CTGATAACCAGTCTTCAGTATAGTCACCATGCTTTTAATATGGCCAAATCAACTTATCTGGAAGTAGTCTTCTACTCGAAAGGATATTTAATACTATATTCGCGTAATGTGCAGAGAGGTAATTGTAGATCCGATCCAAGTGCCAACCATCCCCATCAGAAAGTATAAGATTAGCCATAGTCATAAATGGACAATTTGGTGGCCTTGGAGTCCACACTTTATGCCCTATCTGAGTTGGGAGCTATTTATCATACCAAATGTTGATGGACTGACCATTCCTCACCTCCACTGTAAATTCCATTGAAGAAGCTCAAGCACAGTAAAGATGCTTCTCCATGAATAGTTAGGTCTGTAGCCCAGCTATGCCTCCAAAAAATTCCGATCAACAAAGTACCTGTCTTTATAGATTCTGAAAAGCAAGGAAGAAGGATCCTGAAGAATCCTCCAAGCTTGTTTGGAAAGCATGGCATGATTGAAATACATAAAATCCCTAACACCCAGTCCCTAGAGAACTTACTAGAGCAAAGTCTTGACCACTTGAGCCAATGTATTCTGTCTTCTCCCTCATTGGCCCTACCAGAACTTGAGATGATAGATTCCATCAGCATACATACTAATTTGGGTAATAGAAATATGCTCATGGCATAGGTCTGTATAAATTGAGCCACTGATTTCAAATGATTTCATTACCAGCCTTGTAGAATTGATTCATTTTCCAATTTTGATTCCAATTTGCAAGCTTATCCACCAATAAAGAGGACGTATGATTAAGAGATTGACCAATCACGATAGGACGACCAAGATATCTATTATGTGCGCTTACTAGATTCACATCCAAGATCCTTTTCAACCTGATTCTTGTGAGTAGTCACGGAGGATCTCTTTTCAAAATTTTCATCTCATTCTCTGTCACTCTTCTGAAATCAGACTATCCTCAGCAAGTAACAAGTGTGAGATAAGTGGGGTCCTTCTAGAAATTCAGATCCTATTTTAAGTCACGTCAAGCCTCTGAATCTCGAATCATGTTGAGGAGGTCTCTAAATATAAAATAAACAAATACTATAATAATGGGTCTCTCTGACCGAGACCTCTGTTGCATAAACCACCCTTGATGGCTTGCCATTAATCAATATGTAATATGACAGTCGTCACATATCGCATTATCAGTGACACAAAGGAGTTATGAAAACCCAACTTCAACATGATTCCTTCAAGGAAAGGCCATTCAACTGGTCATATGCTATACTAATATCAAATTTAAGTACAAAAATACTAGACCAACTCATATTATGTTTCATAAAATCAAACAATTATAGAGCAATCAAGGCATTATCAGTGATAAGCTGTTATGGAATAAAAGCAGACTTGAGACTCATTTGCAATATGTGATAGACAAAGTTTTAACTATTAGTTATAACTGGGTTACTAATTTCATCACCACCTTGCACAAGTTAATAGGTTCGAAATTTTGATGGTGTACATGGGTCCCTAGTCTTGGATATCAAAGTAATATATATATATATATAATTCATATTACCAGGGGACCTATGATTATTTAAGATATCTATGACAAACTGAGCGACATCACGATGAATAACATGCCAGGACTTTTGGAAGAATATAGGAGGCACACTATTAGGGGCAAATGCTTTCATTGGGTGCATCTGCTTCAGTGTATTTAGGACCTCTGATCTCGCATAAGGTTCAAGTAGGCTCATGTTCATGCTATCTGAAACTTTCCTATGGATACCGTCAAAGACCGTATCCATTTGCTTAGCACCTCCACTACTAAACAGGATTAGGAAATGATCATAAAATACGCCCTCCATCTATCTTTAATACCCGGAATTTAATTTGCAACATTCAAATTAATATATATAATTTAATTTTTATTTTTATTTTTATTTTCATTTTAATTATTGTTCAATGTAAAAATGGAGAAAATTAAATTGGGGATGAAATTAAAAACAATTTTAGAAAAAATGGGTGAAAATTTAGGTTATGTTGGTATTTTTAAAAGAAAATTCAGAAACTGAATGTCAAAATATAATTTAGAAAAATTGTGTCACGTAAAACACCCAGTTAGCAGCTCCGATGAACCGGAGTGGATCGCGTGGCAAGGGATGCTGATGCGGTGCCACGCGGGCAATCCGCGTGCCTGTGATTGGACAGTCCAGATTTGTTCCCGCACGCACGAATAGTCCAGATCCGTTCTCTCCCTAGACGTGATCGGACGGTCAGATTTAAACGCGATGAACGGTACAGATCCACTTCTTATTTAAATACGATCGAGTAGTTCAGATTAAATCGCGATGAATGGTCTATATTCACTTCCTATTTAATCGCGATCGGACGGTACAGATCAAACGCGATAGACGACTCAGATAAAAAGGGGACGGATATAAATAACCATTTTCACACCAAACCCTAACCCTAGCCGCCAGACCCCCCTCTCCCCCCGCGCCGGAGAAGAAGATCTAGCCGCCGGAAAGGAAGCTTACTGCCGCTGCCACTACCGCAGCGCCGGAGCTACTTCCGACCGCCAAAGGAGGTAAAAAAAATTTTTTTACTCGAAATTCGATTTTAAACATCTCATGCCCAAATCAAAACAAAAGAACGGGCAGATTGACCGAAAATTGTGAGCAAAACCCAACGCCGCCGCCGCCGCAGGAAAATACAAAAAACGCATCCGATGAGCCCATTCCCAATTCTCATTCTGCGTAGTTCTTCCACCATTATAATCACTGTTTTCTTCTCTACAGGTTGATTAAAGCAAAACACCTAACTGCAAAGGTGTGCCGATAGAGCCGCTACCCCGGAGAACCCCGTCGTCGGTAAGTTTCAGTTTTTTCAGCCAACCGATGTCCTTTAATGTATGTTTTCGCAGAGATTGATACAAAACTGGCCAAAAACAATCGACCCGAAGTAAACTGCCACCGTAGGCAGTGGTGTCGTCGCCGGAGCACGGCGGAACCGTGCCGGAATTCCAGAATTGGTCGAAAAAGGGTCCTAACACTGATTTTTAATTTTTTTTAGGATATTTCTAAGTACTTGAAGTACATTTTAATCTCCGAATGAAAATTTAGGGAATCCGAGGACCGCCAGTAAACGCAGTCAACAAGTTTAATATTTCGGGTATCAATTAGAATAAGAATCCCTCACTTTATTCTCTGTTATGGAATTGAAGTCTAATTAATAATAATAATACGGTATTTTGTGCAATTTAAAAAATATCCATAATTAATTACAGGTTACTAATGAAGACAGAATTTGAAATTATTCACTGTTGATTCTGTTGATTTATTTTACAATATACTTGATTGATTAATCTTATAGTTTGAATGCGCATGTATTGTTTGGTTCATGTGATTATGGTTGTATTAAGAAATTGGAAATTAAAGGAAGTCGAAAAATTGTTTGATTAAATGAGTGGATGAAACAGCAGCCTTACTAGATATCCTGATAGATGGTGTACGGACCGGGTATATAAGAAACCCTACCATGAACGTTGTCTCATACTGGATGAAGTATCGAGATTTGTTAATTTGACACTCATATCGGATAGAGTATAAGGATGATCCGTCTCACCCTCATATCAGACAGGATATCGAGATTTAGTAATTTTGTGCTCATACCGGACGGGGTATGGAGACGGTCCGTTAATTAGAAATGTTAAAGAAAAGTGTTCACGCGTTGTGGGGATATCCTTATGGACCCCTATAGATACCACTAGCCTGATAAAAGAGAAAATTGTTATTACAACCGATTGCATATGAAATTATGATATGTGCTATGTTATTGCCTCTATAGGTCATTTTTTGTAAATATCGTTACGGTAAGTAAACAGTAAATGATTTTATTTATGATAAATGATTTTACTTAATTAAAAGTTCTATTAGTTGTTTTTATGATTTTTACAAAACTTTATTTCTGTGTCGGTGAGTAGCGTGATATTTTTACTGAGTTAATGTATCTTATTCTTTCATTAACCATTTCATATCAAGAGGGTCATGATTTAGAACCTGATCCACAAGAGAATTGCGAGTAAAACATTAAATTGATTGTTTTAATTTATTTCCTTGATTATTAGTTTTTCTTTTAGGATGGTTATTCCCGTAAATTCTATTTGGTAATTTCAGTTATTGTGTAAGGAATGTAAATCCTAATTATTTATTTCGCTTTCGCACTAAATTTATAATTTATTTACTTCAAAAATTTACGGGGTCGTTACATATTTGAGGTCAGAAACCCACACCCCTTCAGCATTCATAATTTTCTGAATTGTAGTTCAACGTCTCCTTTTTGTTCCCCTTGTATGAAAGAAATTAATGTTATGATCACCTCATTTCAACTAGTTTATCGGCAACTATTGGGTCCGCATAATTTCCTCATGTAGATATAATTTGTCTAACTAAACTATCAAAACTTTGATTTCATCCACCTTGTGTTGAAAAACAGTCTTAAATCTAAGAGAGATTTCTATCGATAAGAACGAATTAAATAAAAAAAAAAAATTGCTATTAAAATCCAAAGAACCTATCAAATCATTAATGTCCTAAATGGCACATTAAACCCTAATGACTCTAGAAGATAACAGGAAGAAAATGATGATGAAATATTTCATTTTAGAATACTAATTTTCTTAGAAGGACTTTCGTTACAAGATTGCCATCAGTCCTTTTCAGATGATCAATGGATATAGAGGGATTTTTTTTTCTTTTGAAATAATGGATAGAGAGATTTTCAGAAGAAAATTAGATCAAGGAAGATTGCAACATGTCAAGTAGGCAATTGTCATTTAACAATTGAAAAGAGTTTTATGATACACATTTTTTTACCTGATATTCCATTTTGAATTCCTTGATCTTGACATTTTTGAATTGATATATATATATATATATATATTAATTTGTCAATTTACTCTGAACATGAATTTCAGATTATATAAATTCTGCAATTTAAGTTCGTCCTTTCGTAGCATCCTTTCTCCAATATTTTCCAAATGGAAAAAACATCCTTTCTGCTCTACCATGTTTCCCAGAACCGTTCATCCAAACGCTATTTCTTCTACTTGCCAATGACTTCGGCCTTCACAACCTTTTTTCTCATTTTCATTTACATAGCAACCACTTCTAAATTCTTCCATACTGTTAAAACAACTATTTACATTGAATCTGAAGAAGAAAGGCCTTCACCACTTTCCTATCAAAACATCCCAATTTCTATTGACAACAATGCAGAGGACTTCTTCTTTGATACCCTCAAGTTTAATGCCAACTTTTCAAAGGACACCCAATGGTCTATAGCAAATCTATTTGGCTCTGTAGGTATGTAAACTTTAACTTTCAAGTTTCAACTTGTATTAAAATCTCCTCCATCAAATAATTTTCTCAGTATATGCCTTGTGCAAGAATCTGAAGTTGGATTCCTTTGATCATACTTACTGAAAATTTCAATAATGCAGTTATGTTGGACAAAATAGTTTGATCATGTCCGTGTCTCACACTTTTTTTACTATGTTCCACTCTAATTTTCAATTCTTTATTAATTTTGTAAGTATATGATTTGGTGTCTGATCTCGTTTCTGATAACCATCATTTTACTGGCTGTGATGGAAAGAGATTAAGAGAGTTGTCCTCGATGTCTAAGACGATGTTGGATGAGAATTTGATTAGAAAAAGAAAAATTTGTGTTGGGGGATGATATTGACGCATTTAGGAGACTAAAAATCAGATCTTGGAACGATTTGAGATGAAACCTTGAGCATCATTTATACAAATTTTGATTTTTCAGGCAACTATGTGAACAACAAAGAGAATGTCTTCCATGACAGTGAAACCTTCCTGGAAGACTACAAGCACATGAACAAAAGCTTCAAGATTTATGTTTATCCCTACAACAAAAACGACCCATTTGCAAATATACTGCTTACCAGTCGATTACCAGCCAAAAGGAAGCTATGCCAGTGAACTTTACTTCAAGAAAATACTGATGCACAGTCACTTCATCACCAATGATCCAACAGAAGCAGATCTCTTCTTCATGCCTTTTTCCATTGTCGAAATGCGCCATGATCTGAGAATTGGAGTAGAAGGGATCAAAGATTTTGTGAAGAACTATGTAGTGAACATCAGCCAGACTTATCCTTACTGGAACCGAACAGGCGGTGCTGATCATTTTTATGTTGCTTGTCATTCATCCAGTAGATCAGCCATGGAGAAAATCAACGAGGTGCAGTTCAATTCCATCCAAGTTGTATGCTCTTCCAGTTATTTCCTTTCAGGTTATGTCGCTCACAAGGATGCTTCCTTGCCCCAAATTTGGCCTAGACCTGGAGATCCCCCCGAATCTTCATACATCAGAAAGGTGATACTTCTTTAATCTAAACATCAGAAAGGTGACTAAAATGATTTCTATTACTTTTGAAATTCACAGCACCAAAAACATATTCATGAAATTAACTATATATATATATACATACAGAAAGCAATTAGCATTCTTCGCCGGACAAATCAACTCGCCAGTGCGGGCAGCTCTGGTAAAAATATGGAGAAATGACACGGACATATTTGCTCACTTCGGGCGGTTCAAAAAACCATATGGATACCAGCTAATGAGGAGCAAGTTCTGCCTGCACGTAAAAGTGTTTGAAGTGAACACAGCTCATATTTCCGACGCTCTGTACTACGGCTGTGTTCCGATCATCATCGCCGACCGCCATGATCTCCCGTTTGCAGACATTTTAAACTGGAACAGCTTCTCTGTTGTGGTTGCGGCGGTGGACATTCCTGTACTGAAGAGAGTGCTTCAGAGAATAAGCTTTGATGAGTATTCATGGCTGCAGAGTAATGTGCTCAAGGTGAGGAAACATTTCAAGTGGAATGACCCTCCGGTTGACCACGACGCTTTTTATATCACCATGTATGAGCTGTGGTTGCGGAGGAGTTCGGTTAGGGTTCCGTTGATGAGGGTTTAGTACTAGACGGAAAGTTGACGACGGTGCTTTTTGGGTATTTTTTTTTTCTGTATTTAGAAAAAATAATATGTTTGTTAATTTATGCGTCGGTGAATTTAATTATTAATTTCTTTGACATAAAATGTCTAATTGATATTTTAATAATTAATGAAACATGTACACTAATAATAATAAAATTAAATAATATAAATTCTATAGTTATAATCATGTATAAAAACATAAAATTAATAAATTATTTAATTGGCTTGAAAAAATAATAGATTGATATTGATTTTTTTAAACCCAAAAAAAAAAAAGTAAATGAAAAAGGGAGGTAGAAGTTATTTATAATTAATTATTATTATTATTATTTTATAATTGTATTTCACGTCACACGGTTGAACTTCAATTGATGAAGACATGATTGTTTGTCAAGTAACTTTGGTCTAAAAAATATATATATATAATTTGGATTACTTTATAATATAATAAAGTCATATTTGTACTAATCATTTTTCAACTTGATTATAACAAGATTTGTGAGTAATGAGTTATGTGTGTTTTTGTATGTTCTTTTCAAAAATTTATTTATTTATTTATTTATTGCTTTTTATAATACGAAAAAATTGGTTAAAAATAAATTTTTAATTTGTTTATATTTTTTTAAAATATATATATATATAGAGCATGTGTATGTACAAGTAAAATTAAAATAAATATTTTTTTTTTATTATCTCTTTTGTTATGTGGAGTTATTAAATATTATAATTTTTTTGTATTTTTGTTAAAAAAAAATTTAATTTTATATAATTTGTTTCTAGAAAATAATGTTTATATTTTTATAAAAAATTCTAAAATTATAATATGTCTTAACATGTAAATATATTCTTCTATATAAATTAAATGAAAATTAACATTAATAAATTTCTCACCCCTCACATTTTGAACCAATATATATTATATATATATATATATATTATGCTTATCCAAAAAATAAGATGATAATAATTTACAAACAACATTAATAAAATTTTCACCTCACACATCTTGGACCAATATATATATATATATATATATATATACACATATTATAATAATAATTAAAAAATTACTAACCTTGATCATTAAAAATTTCATTTCTTTTTGTTCTTTTGTAACAACTGCCGAGACAGATCGGTTCTTTACACACACACAGAGTATACCAATCAGCTGTTCAGAACAGTCTTGTGAATACAACAAACGAATCCTCCTTCACCTTTTGGTTTCTTTTTCCTTTAATTTCATCTCTGCTAAACTCTCTCTGTTCTAGTTTTTAATCTTCCATATCACCTGCCCCCCCTGTTTGGTTCCCCAGAAATTCGAACGGAAAGGGGGAGAAACAAAGTCATATCTTTAGATTGGATTCGAAATCACTACTGTCTGCTTTTTGAGAAGGTTACTTGTGTTGAGGGTTTTGGCTTTGTTGACTTTCGATGTTATACTTCTCATCTGGCCTTCTAGGCGAGACGTATTTGTTTTCTAGTCTTTACACTCTTAATACGGAAATCTGATGGGATTAGATTTCTGTTGTTGGATTTGTTTTCTTTCCCCCGAATGACTGTAATTTAGGGTTTATTCAGGGATTCGATCCAAATCGGGCTCCTTTTGATGAGCAAATATGGTTTTTAAATCTAAGATAAAGTGGATAGCGCTTTTTGTGCTGATTTTGTCCGTTGCATCCTTGGTTATCCATCTTTCCATGACCAAGTTTTCATCTGTTGATTTAGTTCAGTATAGCACAATGGCTGGTCTAATTCAGGATTTGGCTTTACCGTTAGGGGCCCAGGTAAAGCTTTGATGAGATTCTTCTGGGTCACTCTGCAAATGTGCAGATATCTTTACATGAATATATTGCGTAAGTTCTCTGCATGTCTGAATTATTGATGCATTACTCCCCTTTGTCTATATTTCAGGCTTCTAGGAATAAGAAGCTATGGGGGAATGTGAAGTCTCTGGAGCCATTGCAGCCTTATGCCAACCCAAGAAGCAGCTATCCTGGTAATTGTTTTTTCTTTAATAGCTGTTTATGTTTGATGATTATGTGCTACTAAATTTAAGTTTTGCGATTTTATGTATGGTCTGTTTTATTAATTTGTTTATTTGTATATACTATACGGGGTTATTGAATTGTTTTGATGGAAATTATAATTGAGTTGACTTTTTTTCCTGACTTGGGGTTACGGACCTTTCAATCATGAAATGAACTGTAACACATCTAAAGTCTGTGTTATAGCATCTGCGGATATTCCAGTAAAATTCTTGTTATTCAAATCATTCAGAAAAAGCAATTGATACTCAATTAACTCACTGTACCTTAGGTTGACGGGCCATACTCTCTCTTTTTAATTCAGAGATTGTTCACTTTTTAGAATTTTGTCTTCCTAATGAGCTCTGTTTCTTTTTTACATGGTTTGCACTCACTTAGAGCCTTAGGAACATTCTTTAACGACAAGCCAAACACAATGCTGAAAGCTATTTCATGCACTTAGCTTTTTTTTTCCCCTTTTCCTACATGCATATTTCTGCTACTCTGTTAACATTAATAGTCTTTTGTGACTACTCTTAGGGGTCTCCATGGAACATAGTTGGACATTTCTAATTATTTGACATGTGATTAATCAAGTCTGCTCATAATTTTACATGTTATATTCCCGGATTTTAAGCTTAGCCCTTCAAGATCTGTTCCTCTATTTGACTTACTGATCTTCTGAGGGGTTTAAATTGGTAATTAGGAGAGGGGCATTATCTTTGAAGTCTGTTAGAGTGCAATTGACAACGAATTTCATAATGATTGTGAAGGTTGTATGTAATGAGAGATAATTAAATGATAAGTGGAGACCTTATGTTAATTTAATTAATCTGGAAGATTGATCATATCAATTAACCTATCCATTTTTAAGACTTCCTTTTTTAAGGATCATCTTTACGTATCTCAACTTTGTTGAATAGAAAAGTAATGAAGAAAATTTGTTTGCGGTGTACTTCTTTTAGTCAGACGTGAGATAGTTTTGATGTCAAGGCTGGTCTACTTTGTAAGTTTTGTAAAACATATAATGTAATAGACTAAGGTGACACAAATTTTCCTTAAAAGGAAATTGCGAGTTGTCTTATATCTCTTTCCACAAGAACCACTTTTCTGTATTCTATATTTAATTTAGCAAATAACTCGTTGTTTCTGGTGTTTGTCACTAATTTATTGTGTGAAAATTTGATGTGCTTGGGGTTATATTCTGCTGAGCTTTGTTTAGTTATTTAGATTTTTTCTTTGCAGTCCCAAATGAAAAGAACAACGGTTTCATCTATGCCAAAGTTTTTGGTGGATTTGAGAGCATAAGACCTTCGGTATGTACCACTCAATTTAAAAAAGTCAATCTTTGCTAAAGTTCTTGTTGAGAGTTCATAACACTTCTGTTAATTTTCTAGATCTGTGATCTTGTCACCATATCCAGGCTTCTAAATGCTACTCTTGTCATTCCAGAGATTCAAGAAGCTCTTCGCTCAAAAGGCATCAGGTATATCACCACTAACCTTCTTTCATGTTTGTTTATTGCAACATAATCTTTTTCTTTTCAGCTTCTCACCTCTTTAATATGTTGCAGTTATAAATTCAAGAGCTTCTCCTATCTCTATGATGAGGAGCATTTTATAGCATCTCTCCAAAAAGATGTAATAATTGTGAAGAGCCTGCCTGAAAATTTGAAGGGTGCAAGAAAAAGGAATGAGTTCCCTACCTTTAAACCCAAAAGCTCTGCTTCTCCAGATTTTTATGTCAATGAAATTTTGCCAAAGTTAAAGAAAGCAAAGGTTATTGGATTGGTTCTTAATAAAGGAGGATGTTTGCAGGTAGTGTATCAGCTAATGATGTTAATTATGAAGCATATTAGTACAAAATAGCAATATTCCTTTTTTGAGAAATAAAAAAGATGTCATTTTGGCTTATGTTCTTCTTTGATTTTTAAAAATTCAATATTTGCTTAGAATCTGGTGATGCATCAATCCGCTTTCTTAGGCCTGAAAATGGGTCATTATATTTTTTGGTTAATTAATTTGATGGTTGATTCTGCTGATCCTTTTTTTTTAGTCAGTTACTGTTTCCTGTCTCGGAAGGTTTGTGGAAATTTCATTCTGTGGCAAATGCTGATGACTATCATTTCTTTCATTCTGAATCACATTTTTGAATGATTTCATTGGGGTTCAATTTTGGTCTTTGCATTCAAATATGCATGTCTTTTCCTTTCACAGTTGATTCGTGTTTCTGTTTCTTTGATTTGATGTTCTACAAAAGAACAATGAAAAGTTATAAAATATGGAACATCCACCACTTCCCCTCTTTGTATTCTCTTTCTCTTAATAATGTCTTCTTTTGTTATAGAAATATTTAGACTACCAATACCACTTAAGCAATATTTTATCTCCCCTTTCAGTCAGTCCTTCCTTCTACTATGTCCGAGTTTCAAAGGCTTAGATGCAGAGTTGCGTTCCATGCACTCCAATTTCGACGAGAAATTAAGTTACTGGGACGCCGGATGGTGGAGAGGTATCAGTTCCTGGCTTGCCTTCCATCCTTCACTTGCCTTTCTACACAAGCTTTAACTCATGAGGGAAAAATGAAATATGAGAAGGGACACGTGGCATAAAACAGGAAAATATTATGAAAAGCATTATACAAGTAGAAATTTAGTCATTAGCTTGCTGATGCAGCAATATGTTGGATATGAACATCTTAGGCTTGAATAGGCAAAGGGTAGAAACTAGACTTCTGTTTCCATTAGACTGTGCCATAATATGTTTATACCAAAAATGAATTTCCTACAAATAACAATGTGCTTCGTAAACTTTTCTCTGTAGGTTACGAGGATTGGGCCGTCCTTTTTTAGCTTTTCATCCTGGCTTGGTGAGGGACAAATTGGCATTTCATGGCTGTGCTGAACTTTTTCAGGTTAGATGTTAAAGCCTCTGTTCTCCTGCATATCGGTAGAATCAAAGTGGGAATCTTCCTACTCTTGACCTTGTGAATTTCTTGGTTGCGTTGAAGTTGCACCAAAAAGGTGTTAGGAATGTTTTCAAGGGAGTTTCTGAAACAAATTTGTTAATGACTGACACGACAAATTTCTTTAGTTGTAAAATGTTATTCTGACTCCATTCTACTTTTTGGTACTCTAGGATGTTCACACTGAACTGATCCAGTATCGGAGAGCACAGATGATCAAGCAAGGAATTCTTAAAGAAGAACTAAGTGTAGTCTCACACTTACGGAGAGACAACGGTTCATGTCCTCTCATGCCTGAAGAGGTATGCTAAGAGTTCCATCTTTAAATTATGCTTATATATGAAATTCATTGCAGAAGTTTCAAATGAAAGTGGCATTAGTCTATGGATTCTGGTAATCTGCTAATAATCCCAAAGAAGATTTACCTTTCTGGTCGTCAAAATCTTATGCAAATTTAATTTACACGGAAAATATATTTGAAGTGATTACTATACTCTCATTTTATCCTTCTATCAAAATGGGGATTGACTTGCAAAAATGAGGTTTAAGATGTCTGTTCATTGGTGGTAAAATTTTACCTGCGTTTCTAATTTTTGTGCTGCAATTATTTTCCTTGGCCTCTAACTCTAGCGAATCTTGTTTGGGTTCTGATTGTGAGTGGTCTTGTGTTCAGTTTCTTAACGATCAGCTGTGAATCAGCTTATTTGTTCAGTGATTGTCAAAGTATATGAGGTATTTGGATTATTGCAAATACTGCTTCATATGTATATGATTTTGAAATCCTTGTTAATATTTGCAGGTTGGAGTTCTTCTTAGAGCATTGGGATATCCTCCCCAAACAATTATATACCTGGCAGGTTCTGAAATATTTGGTGGTCAGCGTGTTCTAATCCCCCTACGTGCTATGTTTGCCAACTTAGTGGATCACACTTCCTTATGTAGCAAAAACGAATTGTCTGAATTATTCGGCCCTGAAGCCCCTCTTCCTCTAGATCTCTTTCAAATGCCTCCTATCAAAAGTGAAAAACAACTTAAGGAAGAATGGAACAGAGCTGGACCTCGGCCACGACCTCTTCCACCACCTCCAGACAGACCCATCTACCAACATGAGAAAGAGGGCTGGTATGGTTGGATCACTGAGAAGGATACAGAACCAGATCCTTCACCTATGGATTTGCGAATGCAAGCACACAGATTAGTTTTGGATGCACTTGATTATATTGTTTCTGTGGAAGCTGATGCATTCTTTCCTGGTTTTAATAATGATGGTAACGGATGGCCAGATTTCTCAAGTTTGGTCATGGGACAAAGGCTATATGAAAGGGCTTCATCTAGAACCTATAGACCGGACAGGTAAAGAGGGCTTTTAAGTAAGCTTGTGACATTAAATTGGTTTTATTTTAAGAAAAAAAAGGACTTTGAACTGGCCTTTAAAAAAATTGAACAAGAAGAAGAAATCATCACCCAATGGTGATATAACATTGACCAATCACTTTCTCTTTTGCTTTTTGATTTATATTTGAGGTTGAACTTCACGCAGTTTTCATTAATTTATCCATGGTTGGACTCCACAACTGCGGAACACCAATTCATATCTGCAATTTAAAAGTCTTTGCAAGACCTCTCTGTTTTGAGATCATACAAATGCTTTTAAATAACGGATGGTTTACATTTTTTCCAGGACAAACAATTAGCTTTGTTATTCAACCTGTTATTGTTTCTATTGATTTATGAAGTTATATTATTTAAATGACCATGTGTTCGCAATCCATGATTTTTTTGCATTTCAATATTCTCTTCTAACACTGTCAATGATTTATCAAACAGGAAAGTAATTCAAGAGCTACTTAACATCACCCGTGATAATATGTACCATCCGAAGCGTAACTGGACTGTTTTGTTGAAGGAACATCTCAACAAAAGCCTGGATGAAGATGGCCTCATCAGGCAATCTCTACTGTCAAAACGCAGTTCATTTCTATCGCACCCCCTCCCTGAATGTTCTTGCAGAATTTCATCTATTGGGCTATCAAGAAGACGGAAAGATGGTGATGGACGATTTCTGTATGGAGGTGAAGATGAGTGTCCAAAATGGATATCAGCTGGAGCAGAAAGGGATAAGAATGATGATGTGGAGTCACTAGAATATGAAAGTGACTTGTCTGATCAGCCCGAACCTGATGAAGATGCTGCCAAAAATAGTGACAGTCTACCCTTTGATCATGATGATGAATGGGATCCTAATGACTAGAATTGGATGTGGATGATGCTACTTCCTGTTTTTATCTGCAGTGAAGCCATTCAATTTCCAGTAATTTTGTTACAAAAGAGGAACTTTTTTTTCTTTTGTGGGGGTCAGCAACATGATGAGGTAATTTTTTCCGTCTGTGTAGTTCGGCATAGTTTTTTGAGGGGAGCATTCAGATTTATTCTTTCTAGTTAAATTCAAGGAATTATAAGTTACAGATAACAGAATATATTGTATACAGTCATACACCATATATTTTGACCTTGACAAGAGTAGAGAAATTTTTATGTAGTAAGAGCAAGGTAAAGTTGACGATTTTTCATATTGAGGAAACATAGGGTTAGAATGTCGGATTGTCATACTTACAGTTGGTTGCCCGTGATAAATCAAGTTGGTCCCTTTGAACTACAAACTTCGATTTATAGTGAAAATTTGTTTCAAATGAAATACTGACGGAAAAGGATGGCAGTTTCTTTTCTCAATTTAGGAAATGGAATTCTTAATTTATCAAAGTGAATTGCCAGCAGCATTATGTTATGGATGTTAAGTTCAGAATAAGTGAATTCACCTGTTAGATTCCAAATTCTTCAACAAATTAGTGAAGATTTTCTTCTATTTAGGAAACAAAAATGGTACATTCTTATTTCGTTTATGATACATCTTAAACATAATGGTGAATGGTTTTGAACTTTTAAGTTTCAAAGAGTTGGTCAGTTGGTGGTTAAATTTATAAGATTCTTTTCCGATTGAAACAGTAAAAATAATCTTATTTTTGTTTTCAAAATTTTAGATGGCTTTGCCTTGATTTCCTAAAAATTGTCTATATTTTTCAAAAGCAAACGCATCTCTTATCAATTGAAGGAAACAAAAACGTCTGTTTAAAATATATTCTTGAATTGTGATCAACCTTTTTCCTCCTGAGTACCTCATGCCCACTGGTAAAAGAATATATTAAGGATATATATATATACTTCAGTTAAAATGATACATCAAGTTCTTCGTAGAATAATACACAGGAAGAAAACTGGGTCTGAAACAAAGACCTCAAATAATTAACAATTGCCGGGAGATGTCTAAGAACATTTCAGCGCAGGATCGATACATTTTTACATAAGAAATGGAAAAGCTTGCTATGCACCCTTGTTGCTAGTCCACGGTTTGAGAACACCAACAACAATGATCGCAACAATTATAAGAAGGATGATTATGGCAATGCACATCCATTTCCTAGAGCTCTTCTGTAGTTTCTTTGCCTTTTGGAGAGCAGTATTCCCTGATTGCACATGATCTACAGCACTTGAGACCTGAACAATGAGTAAAAAGTGGGAAGCATAGTTAGATGACAGGCATTTGAGACTACTAACCAATATTAGGGCACAGAGAAACTACTTCTTACATGGGATTCGATATTGTCGAGCATCTCACCCTGTGCGTCCACCAAGACTGCCATATCCAGAAATATCTGCACAGAACATGTAATCAAATGCTGGATCTACAGCACCTCTCTCTACCACTAGATAGTCTCAGTTAGCTCTTGAGGACAGTCCATCTTCACTCAGGTATACAGATACTAATAAAGATTTCACCCTTTCCCCCCAATGAGTCTCCTTTCATTTGTACTGTTCCAAGCACAATCCTTTCAATGGTTTGCTTTACCTGGTCAAAATGTACTCATGCCCCCAACCAATTAAATTTTCCGGCACGCACATGTGCATGATGATGCAACCAATTAAATTCAAAGATTCTCTGAAGAAATTCCAAGTAATAAGCAGAAACCTGTTGACTCGACCCCCCGAAATTACTCTGTTAACTGCATCAAGTTACAGATACTTTTCTTTTCTTTTGTAGCAGGTGCCCAGTTTAATAATTTTTTCTAATAGAAATCAAGTTTTGAATTCTAAGACACTGGAAAGCAGAAATCAGAACAGAATGGGTTTTTGGAAACGGTGTAACATTAAACACGGAGAGAGCACTAAACACCAGAAGGTTCCTGTTTCTGATCTGAAAGGTACAGTCAAGACATACATAATGTATTCAACAAAAACACAAATCTAGAAGAACTAATGCTCTTTTTCCACAACCTATGTTTCAGCTGTGATCCCAACCTACCAACAAAAGTTCATGCTAAAAAAAACACAAGATATAATTTAACTGAAATATCTCATCAATTACTCTTTCTCACTTTCAGCATCTAGCAATTAAAATTGAGGTTACATTCTTTTGGGTCTCTAATTCTGGGGCATGATATATGTCGGTGGGATGATTTTGAGAGAGTATTGGATATACAAACAGACTTGAATATATTTTTGTATAGGGGCGGCACCTCCATTGGTATCTCATACGTAATATACATGTTTTTATTTTTTTAAAAAAAATTAAAATTGAGGAGTAAGTTTAAATGTATAACAGTTAAAATTGAGGAGCAAGTTTAAATGCCTAAAAATTATACAAATCAACCACATAAAAGCTAATTTTTATTTTGGTTGGATCACCTCCCATCACCAATAAGCCAAAGTACCTGCTGTAACTCAAGGAGCTTCTTTTCCAAATCTCTAACAGCATCATGACGCTCTTGAATTTCAGCAAGAGTGTCCATTATCTGTTAGCAAGGCAAAAATATTACTTTTTGATCATCTAGTATCAGCAAGTAACAGTTATTAATTGAATCTAAAGGAACTTCTAGGAATTCTCAGGAGAACTGGCCGCATTACAACAGGATTCTCCTCAACGGTTCAAAAGAATCTTCAAAAAGAGGATCACAGAGAGGAAAATAGGAACAAACCTGGCCTCGCCCTTGCTCCTGAATTGCTTTCTGAAATATTTGTTCACTATCTCCAGTCTCAATCAATCTGTCAATTGTCTGTGCATTAAGTAAATCTTAGAAACGGACTTGCATGGATGAAGTTTATTAAAGACTTAATCCCAGAAAAGTTTTACCTCCTCATCAGCTTGTGTCCCCGTTACTAAACAAAACAAAGGCCAAATACACATCAAGGTTCCAAATAATGGAAAAAAATGCAGAGCTTTAAATTACCAATATTAGTCATTGACAGAAAGCAGGATCAGGGTTCAAACCTGTAAAAACACGCCTCTCAACAACTTCCCGGTATTCTTGATGAATGGTTTCTCTCAAAATCTGCAAAATCCTTCATACGGTAAATTTAACAGTGTTAATCCAGACCATAACGATGAAAGTAGTTATTTCCTGACCAACCTGAAATTCAGCCATCTTGTCTTTCAATTTCTTTTTCAAAGAACTGCAAGAGTAAAAATATTAAATAAAATCAGTCTGTAGAACGTGAAAAATATTTTGGAGAAGGTGAAATAATGTATAATTGGACAGTGAAATGTGCCCACAGAAGGGTACAGAGAGCAAAGAACTGCCACCATTACATTTTCATATAATAACATCAGAATTTATCACCTCTTATAAGTCTCATCCTAGTCCCACTTAATGAAGTCAGTTCTACAACTAACTGTGCACAACTGTACTTCCAACAAAAAGGAAACACGGAACTATGCAAAGTGACCATTTACTACTTTCTTAGTTGAACATGTGTGTGTGTGTATTATGTGTGAAACCTTCACAAAAATAAAGGGGAGAGCCTAATTTATTAGATTCCACACCTCGAAAAGATATAACAATATTAGAGTCCAAATATGTGCACCTGTGTTTCACTCATAAATTTCGAAAGAAAATAAATACTGTCCCTTTCATCTTTTGCTGAACCAACATTAGGGAAAAGAAAAACAGAATTTTGTCTTTTTCATCTCTTACATTTATACCACTCTTCAAACAACAAAAGAAATATACTGTAAAGCCTCCAAACTTTAATGTGAAATTAACACAATGCAAAACTTTGGAATATGAAGCCAAAGCATGAACTCCTGTATTACAAAACTGAGTGGCAGTTCATTTCTTGCAGAGAAACTTCCATATAGACCCTAGTGATAACATTTGGTTTAGTCTACCGGCAAATGGCTTGTGATGGATGCTACCACTTTTTGTTTTGTGATAACTTACAAATTGATTATGCGTTCGTACAGCAAAATTTATATACAAACTGGGTATCTAACAGTACAAATTTGTGACCAAAAAGCATGGTCAATATGTAATTCATGACAACAAAGTGCGAAGAAACATGAGAAAAAAAAAGCATCAAAATAAATCAAAGAAGAAGCAGAATAGGAGGATCCATTACAGAGTTGTTGCTGTTCTTGATCGGTCCACTCCAGAACCTTTTCCACACCCAGGCTTCTGCCTATTAGATAAATTCTGTGTACCATAAATACTATGTGAGGAAATAGAAGTGTCATAATTTACCAATATACAATAATGCCATTACCTCTCTGTCAAGTTCTTCAATTTTCCCCTTCATGGAACGGGCAATTTTTCCAACCTCATCAACATCCTTTTCCATTCGCTGTTTAATTGCTGCATATGATAGCAAGATCCATCATGACTATCAGGTTATAAAAGTGCAAATAATATTTAGTTTATAAAGAATACAGAGAAGAAAGAAACAACTGTCACTGACTCTAGCTCAAATGAGCTGTGAAAGACAGGCATTTATTCAAAGTATTTACAGTTCCAACTACAATTTAGCCTCCCTGTAGATTCCATGCAAACAAATGCACATTCATTTGTGCAAATGTTAAATCACATATATCTGCATATTTTAAGTTAATTATTTTAATCCTCTTAGTTGTTCCCAAAGAAATAATCATATATCCTTTCACTAGGAGACTAATTGAAGCCTACTGCTCACAATCTTGAAATCCTCATTACTAGAATTAATTGATGCTATATTACCGAACCCTGCATGTGCTTCATGATTTCTGTATTTATCAAAGACTAAGCATATGCTTATTAGGAGCAAGCAATAGTTTGTATCACCAGCATAATGAGTCATAAGGTCTACTTTCAGATATTTCTGCCTCTTACCTACCTTTTTATTCACATTTCAGTGTCTTAATTTACCTATGTAATTTACAAACAAAATGCTTTCATAATTTTTGTTTCCAGAGAAGAGAATGCTTTTGTAAATATATAATACCAGAAATGGCTTATTACCTTTCATGGCAGGAGCCTTGGTCACAGCCTTTGACTCCTCATGTGCATTCTGCATACAAGATTCACAACAATTAACTTCAGTTAACCAGATGAATCTGGGTGAGGCCCCTTTCTATTAAGGAATGGCACTTACTAGTCAAACTGAAACTAAACTCATATTTGCTTATCATCACCTTCACAACTTAAAATGTAACTTACCACTGAGGTGAATCAAAGAAACAAGAAATGAGAATGTGACTGAAGATACAGTATAATTTTTGCCACAACATGAAATAACTAAACATTCTCAAACAGAACTCAAATATTCTGCATATGACTCCTACAACCACCCAAATCACAACATTTTTTAACAAAACCTTAATGGACCTACCAACAGATGTCTTAAAAAATTAGGAAAAGGAGAGGAATAAAAAAAGAAGAATCAAGATAAATAATACCTGGAGCTTTTTAAGAAGCTTGTCCAGTTTCTCATTTTGTTTCTCAATCTCTTGAACCTGCATACCATATCAAGCATTAGAACAAAGATGGATAAACCTTATAATGCATTTGAAGTATTCACGGACAAACAACAAATCAATGAAAATGTTTGAGGATTGATAGATGAAAGAATATATGGACTGATACACTTATACCTTTTATCTCAAAAAAAAAAAAAGAATCTACGACACTGATTTATCTTCTGCCTAGTATGTATAGAACAACCACGAAAAGAAGCCAGGAATACCTTTTTGAAGAAATCTTCCAGTCCCAGATCTCCAGAATTGCTTGGTGCATTTCCTCCCATCTCAATATCTCCACTTCTAGAAGAGTGACCCCGAGGGATCTCAAATGAATCCTACAGAAGTCACACAAACTCAGTTAAACGACATATAGAGGTTGCTTCATAACTCAAAAGCAATCAGCCTCTTAAACAAGAACTTATCAGCTAGCTCTCATATTATTTAAAAAAAAATCATCTAACTCTCATATAGTATACCAGTCCAATTGATGATATATAATCAACTTCCCAGAGCTGCCATATAATAAGTAAGACTTGAATCCATCATTATTCAAATATCAATAGCATTGGCAAACACCATGAAACATGTCTATGTCTATGTATTTGATTCAGGTACATAGGGAGTTAGACCTGTTTTGGTGTGAAAATCAATAACTTGAGAAGGTTTGTAAAAAGATATGAACGAGAAGGTGAAAATGTAAAATAAAAAGAAAAAAGAAAAAACTCTATCGATGTGAAAAAGATCCTAAAAATCAGCTCTATGTCTTGTAAAGAAGCATCCATTCCATCAAAAAATTAATTTACTCTGACTTCCTAATGCATCAGGCATAATGGTGCCACCATCTAGGCACTCACCAAACTTCACGTCTCAATCTTCCCAACTATACAAGTAAAGGGACTTATTTCCATACAACCAACCTCCAAGTACAGATCAATTAGAATAAGGCACCCTCACTATCCAACTAGAGTACTACAAGCTTGCTTTACTACTTAGAATGGTGATATGAGTTAAATTAGAAAGCCAGACTTCAAATAGAGCATAATGGCTAGGAGAATAAGAGAAAGGAAGAGCTCCTATTGACAGTATAGCTTCAAGAAGTCTGTAGACTGATAGGAGATAGCCAACTAGTCTGCAGAAGACAGCCATGCTTGCACATCTAAGATGCACTTAAGAGTTTTCTGATCAAACGAAAAAACCACAACTCAGTTCCCTCATCAGTAGCAAACAAGTGGTCCACAGGAACATTAAACCCCGAACAAGTGGCCCACAAGAACACTAAACCCCAGTTAATCTGGCTCCCATGAGTTAAAAGATTAATTCCTTCTCCTTATCTGCATGCACATTAACTGAAAATTAAACTCTAGTTATGTTTTTCTCTTCTATTATAGAACTTATTTTTTTCTGATAAACGTACGCCTAATAGCCCAATCAAGAGATATGACATCACCTAACTTCAAATTCACATGCCTTCAACTCCTCAATTTTTATCAGCTTATAACCTTTAAGACTCCAGAATGGCTCTACATCCAATCCCTATAACAAAACATTCATGTAAGGAGTTCCTACTCTTGTATGTCATGAGTGTCTTGTGACTTTGCAAGAGAATTACCAAATAAAGACAACTTATATAATTGTTTGTTCAGGAAATTCAGCATTCTACATAAACCTGACGTAATCAGAACCCCTAAATGCAATACTCCCATGTATGTTCCTGTTTCCAATCAGGGATCAGTAAGAAAGTTTAAAATACCAGTAACAAGTCACCTTCTGGAAATACCATAAACACTTTTGAGTGTTAGCATAAAAATATAATACCATCAATCACAGCTAAATCCTCATGTAAAACATATCCATGAAATTGTCAGAATATGCGGAGGAAAGAGAACATTATATCCAGATACTGAATCAAAAAAATGATTCACTGGAGTTACCATTTAATTGGTTAATGAAGGGAAACAGAAAAGAAAGTACTGTCGGACACACATAAGCATCAAATTCTATTGATGGCAAGAAAAATCAAAATCTCTCAGCAACGGCAACGGGCTGCACTTGCAAACATCATAATATAACTACATTCTGTCTGGTTATAAAATTGTAGTATTTTCCAAACCATAACAACATTGGAACACTATGGGCAGAACTCAACTTATGGTAAAGTTGGCAATTCTATTTTTTCCTTGCATACCATTGTTTTCGCGAAATAATTGATCCAGATTCAACATATGTACACATCACTTTTTTTGCTAAAGACAAGTAAGCTAATAATGAATCAAAAGCATAAATGTACAAGGTATAAAGAAACCAGGAAAAGAGTGGAAATAAACAGCTAGCTAAACTAAATTTAAAATGTTTTCATTAAGAATAAGCTAATAACTAATAATATTTTCTTTCTTTTTAAATTTCCGTTTTTTTTTTTTTTTGCATAAGATCCCAAAACTGTGATCAATAATATTGGATTTTACATTTGCTTCATATTCATTCTTCAGCAGCCAAACAGATAATCCAAAAACTAGGACTAAAAAACTAAAATATCAATTCCCTTCATTAATCACGATCCAATAAAAGAAACAGAGCTATCTTAATCAAACCTAGATCAAGACAAAGCCAAAAACAAATAGCAGAAAGACACGAAAAGAAAACTAAACTAAAATCAGTCAATTCTTGAAGATATTACCTTTAAAAGGTCGTTCATTGTTGGACGAGGAGATTGAATAACCTTGACAGAGAAAAAATTCGAATTACGAACTCCAAAACAAGATCAAATTTGAAAAAGATAATGCGAGAACGGAAAAGGAGAATGCAATGAGATCTCTAACTCGCAATTGTTAGGACCTGGTTTTTTTTTCCCCAGCAAAAAAAAAAAAAAAAAACCAGGTCTTTTTAGGGTTTTTATTTATTTATTTATCAGAGAAAAATATGATTGCTTCAAAACGTCAAAGAGAGAGAGATGGTGAATACAGCCCGACATAAGCTTCAATCTCCTACAACGCAGAACAGAAATAGAGTAAATCGAAACCGTACATCATGTGGGTCCCAACTGATTAGAAGAATATATCTGATCATCAACATTTTAAGGGTCGATATTCTCTTTCCAGACTCGAAGTCAGATTAGCAACATCGTGGAGGATAATCGCTTCGTTGGCTAACCCGACATAAGAGGAAGAATGATGTGGACAGCATGTGACGGATTGTTTGTTTTATTCGAAACCGTAATGACCGAAAAATCATATCTTTCAAATAATGGAAATATGTTAAATAAAATAATAAAATTAATAATCCCCTTTTCAAGAACATTAATAATAAAAAATATTAACATATGTCTACTTATATATATTAAATAATTACGCTAAATTCATTTTTTCCATTACTATTAAAAAAAAAAGTTTCACAAATTATTCAGGTCATGTTTGCAAATTTCAAAATATTAAATTAATTAAATTAATAATAATATTTGACTTATTTTTAATATTATTAAATTTTTAGTTTAATTATTTAATTAAATTAATTTATTCTAATGCAATCTTTAATATTTTTTATTTATTTTAAAATTTTATTTTTTTCATTTACCACGTAAAAAAAAATTTCAAATTGTTAAATTATGTTTCCAAGTTTTAAAAAACAGTTGAAAAAAATGACTTTAACTAATTAATTAAATTAATAATTTAATAATAATATTTGACCTATTTTTATTTTAATATTATTAGTCTTCTAATTTAATTAATTAATTAAAATTATCCATCTTAATTATTTT